AGCTTATAGAATATTTCATCTGCCTCTTCATCCTGGATGGGTGGTCTATAGCAGATTCCCATGAGGATATCTGCCTTGTTGGCCTTCCCTGTGAATTGTGACAACAGGCAGGACGGGATGAGACCTCTTGGAAGTAAAGAAAACTGAAACAACTACATAAGTCCCAGAGGCTGTATCTGGATTAAGCTAAACAGCAATGGACTTCTTTGGCTCAGAGACTGACACAGCATGTGACCATACAGTTAAACTGAGCTGGTCTCCAAAGCAGGGCTGCCACACACAGGCTACCTATTAGGAGCAGCTCCTGCTGATGCTACAGTCCTGAATTATACCAGCAAAGTACTGGGCTACTTGGCCCAGATCAGCTATTTAAGAGTATAAACAGAAGAGTCATATAGGGAAGAGATACACTGCTGTGATCTCCTTTCCTGCAGGATCCTGCAAAACTTCTCTGCTGACTGCCTTGTTGGTGGCTGAGGAAGTGGCAGGCCAGAATGTGGCAGCTACTCACTGCCTGTGACACCCTAGATACTCTTGCAGCCATCAAGCAACACTTAATGAACACTTCCAGTGTCCTCTGTGGACAATGCCGTGCAACTGCAAGGGCAGGCTGGGCCACGAGAAACTCCCTAAACAGCCAGCAAAGAATGGAAACATTTTGCAGCCAAGGCTAGAACTGGCCACATCACCAAAGAGCTCTGGCCCAGTTCCACAGAAATCCCATCTGGTCTTTCCTTTGGGCTGAACCTGCCCTGCCACAGGCAGTTAGTTGCTCAGCCATGCTTTACACTGCACTCCAAGGGATTTGGTTCTTGGCTTGTGCCTGAGTCAACAGCTGCCCTCGCTCAAAGTACTGGGACTTGAGTTTGCTACTACAAAATATCTTGCATGCACAGAAGCTTTAAATACATAGTAGACATACAGACTGTGGTCTGAACATTCTTTGAGGAGTGAGTAGTTGTTCTGCTCAGAGTGCTTACTACTGTTAATTCCACATTAACAGCAACAGGAGCAAGAAAATGCAGGCTTAATAACAGGGGGAAAAAGGGAGTAAATCAATGTATTTTCCTGGCAGTTTGTCGATACCAACTTTAGACAACTTCATTACAGTGATGAATATGCAGGCCACAAGTTAACAGCTTCTTAATTACAGATCAGTCAGTTTAGCCAAACAGTCCCTGTTTGCTATCAAATCTATTTGGTGGCAATAATTTAGGGAAGATGAGCTGAACTGTATTGACAATCTGTATCTGCTTTCTCTGAAGTTATCACTGGAGTACAGATGTCTTTCTTTTTCCATGGAATTCTGTCTTCCTTCTGTGCATGATATCCCCCACAGAATTGGTGGTTGTGAAGAGGCACATGCACTTCCAAATGTCAGTATATGCTGTGCACCTTACAGGTTTGCCATTTATTCCTTCAACTCTGCCCTTCACAGTTACAGTCACTAACTTGAAAGGCTCAAGCAGTAAATAATGGTAAACTAGTACAGTTCTCACATGAGCCATTCTAACTTCATTGGGTAAATTCTCAAACGCTGGCAGGCTACTTCACTTTTTCCTCAGTCCTTTCTTCAATCAGGGCTCTTTTTGTTGCTGATTCTGATTTTTAATACCTTCTGTATGACAGCTGAACTTTGGAAAATCAGAGACAATAGGTGATGTTTCACCCACCTTGACCGTGTGCTGTGACTTGACAGTGTATTGTAGCTACCCATACAGACTTAAAACTGTCTGTACTCTGCTTAAAATTCAGTCCAAGTCATGGCTAAGCTGTAAATTACTTTTTGGTTTTGGTGATGAAAACTATGTGTTGTAAGCCAAATATAGACTACCTGCACAGAAACTCTGAAGTACTGGAATTTCCAAGGACCTGTACAAATGGTGAAATTCAATGGTGTGAAAAAACCCCCAAACCTGATTTGTAACAGCTGTGGATTTGGGCAACCCCTGGTTAAAAAAAAAAAAAAGCACAAAAAAAAAAAAGAGACACAAACCAAAAAACTGTGTAACACATACCTATATTCTGGCTGCAGTCATGCCCATAAACAGATTTTTCTCTACCATGAGCATACAGGAATGGTTTGCACAGGAAACAAGCCATAGCTGCCAAGCAGATACACTTGTTAAATGTGGTCACTCCAAACTCGGCAGCACATTCCATTCCCTGCCCTGGGCGAGGCAGGGGTTTTCCAGAGCACTGCTCAGTGCTGCGTCAGGGAAGATTTGGCCCTGTGCATTACATCCCTGATGCATTATGACTTTATTTAGAACACACTTTAGCTCTTCAGCCACCAGGCTGCAGAGGCAAGGTGCCAGTCTTCAGCAAGAGGGGGAAGGACTATAAATAGATCAGGCTAGGCTGCCACAGGCAGCTTTTGGTCTGCTTAAGTTTCTTGTTTAGCCTGAGAGAAGCAGAAATCCAATCTGCTGAGGAGATACAGCATCATACAGGCGCTAGGAACAGCTCATCTCTCCAGCCATTACCTGCCTTTCATTTTCTAGGTGCACAGATACAACCACTCACCTTTAATCAACCAGGACAGCACTAGCTTCCATCTGTGCTTCCCTCCAGCTCTTTTAGCTTTTTGCAAGCTCTTGCCAAGCAAACTGTCATGTATGTTCATAAAACCAGTTACTCACGAGGGAAACACATTCCTTCATTTTCAAAACAAGAAATGAAATGAATCCCAAAGTTAAGTATACAGAGGTAACACAGATTTCATCTTTCTGAGGCCCACAGAGCTTTAAGAATTGTAATTTATTAGTTCTTGCTCTAATTTGTATCCCCATCATGTAGGCTCACTAGGAGATCACTCTTGGAGTTGCCTGTATAAGGAAGGGACATTTTTGCAGCAGAACAAGTGCATAAAAATACCACCAGGAGCCCAGTCCTGCATTCAAGGTAGCTATACTGAGAGCTTTCCTTACTCTGTGCTTGGCTCGGAGTTACTATTAAAGAGACAAACCATATTCCCACTGCCTAGCACACCTTTCAGTGAGGACATTGTTTACAGCACAGAGCTCATGGAGGCCATGTTTGAACAATGCATTTTAAACTCAAAGCTCTTGAATTGATTCTTTGAACTCCACACCCACAAAGCAAGCTGCAGCCAAGAGCAATGCTTCCCCCTACTCCTTCCTGCTGGGATGCACCCTCAGAGGGACATTTAGAACAATTTCAGAATGTGCTCTCAGCATTACACTAGGCACAAAAGCAGATGGGATTACTAGGTCAAAAAAAAATCATATTCTAAATGTTACACTTGAAAGCAAACCATCAAGTCTCAGGGAAGACAGATGGATCTCATAAATCTTTGTCTTCTGCCAAATATTTAGCCTGCATTCTCTGTGTTTTCATCCCTGCTGGCCCTTGCTATACCTGAGATGCAACCAATCTAAATTTGAAGGCAAGCTAGAGCTGAGTATCAGTGACCTACTGAAACCATGGACTTCCACAGACATATTGGGTTTGTGTATGGTCTATGGCAATTTTTCTCCTGCTGCAGACATTAAGGATTTCTCCACTCTACAAGGTTTAAGGTTTAATAGCCTGTGAGCCTTTTCTACCACAGGTGCCTCCTTTTCCTCAGCTGGTTTAATCAATTAAGACACCCAGGAATTAGTAAGGACAATTTTATCACACTTCAGCTGGAATCTTAAGATGAGAGAAAAAGTCCAAAGTGTCTCCTGTCCAAGGCTTGTCATCTTGCACTCTGCAGAACAGAACTGACAGACAACACACTGGCAAATTTGGATACTGTTTCCCTTTAAGTTGGGATTTAGCTACCTCAGTATCATTTTTCTGATACAACCTGTTATGTAGAGGAGAAACATTTCCAGATTTTGGAAAGCTGTAATTTCTTGTTGTAAGAAAGATTGCAGGAGTAGCAGAAAATATAGTAAGGTCCTGTTTGGATCCACCAGCACATTCAGACCTTTCAGACCTGCCTCACCATCTAGCACTTGGCTAGCTGCACTAGAGAACTCATCAGTCCCCAGCAAACTGGAGAGACAGACAGAATCTGACAGATACCAATTCCCCATTGTGAAGTCTGAGAAAACAGCTTCTCTGCAAATGGCCACACAGGACTCTTCTGTGGTTAACCTGGACAAAGCCAACACTTTCCCATCACAATTTGGTTTCAGAAATACTTAAATACGTTTACCTGAAACTTGCAAACGTCAGCTGAAAGCTAATACCAGACAAAGAAGTGACAAATTTAATCATTAAAGCTTGCTGGAATGAAGAAAACTCCTACCATACATCCACAAATAAAGGACAGTAACTGGATGTGCCTGATCAAAAGAACTGGCAGCAGCACACGTTGGTAAAATCGGAAAAGAAACACATTGGAGAGAGAACAGGGAGCTACAAAGAGAAGTTCAGGTGAAAATGCAGTAAGAAAGCTACTCTGTCACACTGGGCTTTGAAGAAATACTGACTCCATTAATAAAACCCAACACAGTACTCTGGCTACCTCATAAATTTTTTTCACAATGCAGCTAAGTTTTAGAGGCTTTTGCTGCAGAACAAGTGAAGTTTTATCTAAGTACTGCACACAGTTCTTATAAACCTATACATGCAAGTTCCTTCACTAGTTCTCTAGATGTTTGAATAATGTATTTTGTTTGTATTAAAACAACACTCCATGTAATTTTATTTGTAGAATACCAAGTTACAAACAGATATAAAACCAACAGAACATAAAAAGTTGTTATGAAACCAAACTAAAACAATAAAACAGTGCATTTTGCTCGATAGTTTAATTTCAATATCATCCTCAATAGAAAGCTTACTCCATTAAACCTGAATATTTCAGCATTCCTTATAGTTTCTCTAGTGTTTGAAAGAATCCTAAGTCACTTTAACAAAAATACTAATTAATACACCCTGTAACACAATGAGTTTCTGCGAGGGACTATACAGTAGTTCCCATTGCACAAATGAACATGGACAATATTATGTATAAAAAAGCCAAAACATTTAAGTGTGAAGACATTTGCACTGTGAATAAACTAAACACAAACTAAAGTGAACTATAAAATTACAGGTTGTGCTCACACAAAGGCACATCTTATTTTAAGTGTAAATTCACATTTCTAGAAGGTAAAAGTTTTGTGCCCAGGCAACTTCAAGTCATTGCAGCACAGTCGAACAGCTCTAAGTGCACATATCTGAACTTTCAATAGAAAGATCTGGTTTCTATTTCTTTAATCCAGTTTTATTAAGGGAAAAAATTAAATTAGAAACAGAAGGGCTCCCCCTCCCATATTTACAGACTGCAAACAATACTGCTTTCTTATCAGAAATTCTAGTTTTCCTGTCAAATTTTATTAAGTTTTGTAACTATCAGCACTCTCACAGTTTGGTCAAAGGCCCCACAAACACACAGTCCCTTTTTGTCAGGGCTCCAGTCTAGGCTAGAGATTGGCTGTGTTGACAGAGTTATGTTCTGCAAGAGGCTGACAGAACCTGCCGTCCCCATCTCAGCTCCTTCTGAATCCTTCTTCGAGCGCTGAGCTGGGTACTCACTGGCAATGAGAAAGGAAAACAAAAACAAGGCCTTAGAATTTACTCATCCAAACACATCATTATCCTCTTTATTTCATGTTCTGCAGAGAAGGCAAATAAATGTCTTAAACGTTATGAATAAGCATATCCAGCTATATCAACACTGCATAGTTAATAGATATTTCATGAAAGAAAAAAGGATGCAGGAAATTTTGAATCCTGACACCTCTGTCCCTTCATTTTTTAACTGTTTGGGTTTTGCCACAGGCAGGAAAATTTCATTTTCAACTACCCCTCTAAAACTTAATGCACTTACTTCAACGTGTTTTGGACAACTAAATTATTTTTCCATGTAGGGTAAGCAGATGTAAACATAAGAACTATTAAAAGTCCAGGCTTTCAGTATTCTTCTCACACAACTGCTACAACATGAGAATTTTAAGAAATCCATTTTCTTCCATTTATCACTTTGTTAACCAAGGTTATAATTAGATTTTCATTATATTAAGACAACTGACAAGGGCAAAATTCACCTGTGCTGTCACATTCTCTCAGGGATTAATTCAAGACTTCAGATCAAGTACTGACACTGAAATCACCCTTTCTACTGCATTTGTAAGTAATAATTTCCACTAGATGTTCTGAGGTGCAGGACCCCATTCATCATTTTTCAGAAAGATTCTTTCTTAAAACATGAAATGGTCAGTTTCTTATTCCCGGCTGGAGAAGTGATCACTTACTATTTCCAGAGATGGAGGCTCCCAGATCCTCCACTTGTCATAAATATATCTCTGTTCTGTGGCAGGTGCCGAACCTGCCATATGGTAGATTTTTGTGCCTAGTAAAAAGAAATAAAAATCAGCATTGTACAGAAGTCAGTTAGGGATGAGCTTCATGGGAAGGATGCAGAATCTTAAAGCAGAGATGGATCACTTGTATGACAACAGATCACTATGCCTTCTCCTGGTGGATGGCTAATTTCTCTGCCTGACACCTCTTAAAATCGCTACTGGCAGAGAACATACCACCAGCACTGTGCAAGCACAACAAACAATCTCCAATTCAAATTTAAACCTCAGTCAGGGCACAGCAAGATCATAGAGCAACAGAACCCACTTAGGGAAAAACCCTATCACATGTACTCTGACTCGATACATAATCTGTCTGCAAATGTCCACAAGGAAAAGCTTAAATGCATTAAACGAACAACAAATTTCATTTTCACATTTTGATTATTACAAACACTAATTCAGTAAAAAAATTATTTGATTCAGAATCAAAGTACTCCCAGCAGCTTATCTGCTTTGAATGATGATATGGAAGATACTAAGGATAATATGCCTTTCCTAAGAAAAAGTGCCTTTAACTATCACCAGACTTTGTTCACTAAATTAAAAAAGAAAAAAAAAAGGAAAAACACTGTTTTATAAAGTAACCTAAGCACCTATTACCTATCAAAAAAGAAAAAAAAAGGAAAAACACTGTTTTACAAAGTAACCTAAGCACCTATTACCTATCTGTACTACACCTGAGTATTCAGACAGCATATATTCAAAAAGTTTGTCTCTTATTGAGAAATTCTCTGTCTCCCCATACCTTCTCTGAAACAGAGGCAAAACCTTTGGTTGGATGCTGAGTTCTCATATCAAAAACATGGAACTTTCCCTCAAGGGATGTGGCCACCAGCTTGTTCATATTTACATCTTTTCTGTCAAACTCCACACTACAAACCTGGAAATATAAAAAGACACATTCAGTCTTGAAACTTAGCCACTGCTAAAAAAAAAGCATGTTTTGTGATTTGTAAATATACATTAATAATCGGTTATTCCTACAAGGACATCACCACCAGTCTGGAGATAACAAAACCACCTAAAAACATGAATACATGGAAAAAATACCCCATCCTGTCCTGATCGAGGATTTGAGTGGTACAATTTGTTGAAGTTAAAGAAAATGATTCCTGGTACAATCTCAGCAGAAACATCTCCTGGGTAAGTTTCACGCACAGAGTCCTTTGAATTTTTCCATCCTACATAGCAGCTGGAATGAAAACTACTTTTATGGTTTCCTTACCCCATTCTTTATGTTGGTCTCCCATCGTAGTGACATGGTTTTTAAGTCAAACAATTTAATGTCCCCATTGTCATACCCAGCACATACGACACGCTCCTCTTGATTGTAAGCATTGCCTGGGCACAGAGAAAGAATCAATCAGAAAACACAAACCCTCTTTAGTCTGTAAATTTCAAAAGTCCTAAGCCTGCAATTTCAACCTACATTGACGCAAAAAAATACATTACTCTTGGGATATTACAATTTAATGAACTAGATGGTTTTCAAACCTGAAGGGTACAGAAAAATCTTGTGTAGGACACAAGGAGCTTGTTCTCCCCAAAAGAAAAATGCAGAGCTCACATCAAGCACCCCTGACTGTCTTTAGTTAGCTCTTAGCTTCAATTTCTTCTCTGAAATTAACACCTTAATGTTTGGTAGTTGGAACTACACTACAACAGTGATGTGTTCCCCATGCATGGCAATATTTACATTCCTTCAGGACAATACAGCTGGATATACTGTTCTTACATTCCTAGGCATAGAAATAAAGCATGCCCAGTTTATCTGTGATACCACAGAATCATCAGATCATTTAGGCTGGAAAAGACCTTCAAGATGATCAAATCCAACTGCAAATGGTGACCAAAGGTGATTAGAGACTGAGTTCCAAACCCAACCATGACAAAACTGGCTTATTTTGGAAAAAAAACCATAAAACCACATAAATTTTACAACATTGAGAAGCAAAACCTGCTACTTATGCATCCTTACAAAATAAACTACTCTATAACATCCTGAAATACATTGATAACCATCAAAGCACAGTCATATTAGAAGAAGGAACAGTCATAATCCAATCAATTACCAAATGCCACTGTCCAGCAGTCTCTTTTGCTCTCCCCCTCTACAGGTTCCATATTAGCCACAGGAGTGTCTTTCTGCCTTGGGTCCCACACCTTCACAGTTCCTGGAAAGAAGGGCAAGGGATTTTTGTTAGGAATACACTGTCACATTCTGTTCATCTTCCCAGGAAAGCCCTTTGCTTTTCAGCCTGATCATTCAAAACCAAGGAGCATCTCTTTCAGTTCTAGAAAGCCTGACTGCATTTAGTGGATACAAGATAGAACCACAAAACCAAACAAAAATAAGTGAAACCATTTGTTGAGGATGTATTTTCTCTAGCTGATATTTTGCATTTATTCTGCTTTGTATTCCTTCTGTCCCATGCTCAGTGACAACAGGATCTTTTATGCTTATCTAAAAGGATTAGAGAACATTTGGCCCAAGCAAGATTCAAAGGACAGTGAGTGAAGAACTAGTTGCAACAGCTTGTAACTAGTTCAGATGGCAGACTGTGCCATCAGAGCTTGCAGGCTGCTTTCCCAGAGGAACTGAAAAGACTTGCAGAGTTCACTAACTCACCATCTCGACTGCCAGTCACAATTTCTGGTGCACCTTCCCCAATTCCTAAGCCACCTACACCATCTATACTGTTTATGATTTCCTTATGACCTTTCACAGAATACACTGGTATTTCAGGAGCTTCTAAATTCCTAGGCAAAAAGAAAAAGAACAGATAATGTGGCATTTTTCCTTGACACTCACAATTTGTATAAAATTGAGAGGAAACTTGAGCACAAATCACAAAGCTCAGATTAACAGTGGGAACAAAATATGGGTATCACCATTACTAACCAAGAGTCTTTGATTCCTTCTTTGGCTACTGGTTTGGACTGGTCCAAAAGGTTTTGCTCAGTTCTGGAATTCCCTATTTGTCAAGGCAGTTGTGGGACTCAGCACAGCAACCTTACAGACCCAGTTTTTACGTTGGGCCCAAAATGAATCATACTACAGATCAAAATACTCCAACTAGCTTTACTTTCAGTAAGTGTATAAAACAATCTGATCCACTTAGCTCTGACTACTGGTCTTCAGCTTCAGGTGTATATTGTATCCAGCCACAGATTTCATTGTTCTTTCCCACTGATTCCCATCCTTTGAGAATCCTTCAGAATTTTATTTTACATTTCAACTAGTGACTATTTCACATCATTCTTGCTATTCCAACAAGAACCAATAGTTCCTTGGGAAGAGCAATGTAATGATAATAAACAATTCTCTTTTGACACTTCATCTGATAATCAATTTACCTAAAAAATTAACTATTCTAATAATTCAGGGACCTGAAAAACATTTGAAACTTCAAGATTAAAATATCTGTGTTTAATCTAGACAACAAATTTAGGTTGGACACAACCTTTTGCTTGTAGTCATGCATCCATTCAAAAGCCTCTTTTCAAAGAAAGACCTCACAGAACTTCAGCAGATTTTTGAAGCTGTACACAGAAGATGGGAGCGAAACAGCACTGAACCAAACACTCAAGAATTCATGTTTTTAGAAAGCAGGCATGGTCCAAAAACAGTAGTCAGTGAAGCTTATACTGGGTCCCAACTGTGGGCAGCCTGGAGAGCACCTCATGCAAAAGCCACAGACAGACATGAGCAACATCAAGTGCACAGGCTTCCAGGGAATATCTGTGCTTACCATATGTTCAGGTTCCCACCAAAATCTCCCGTAGCCAAGTATCTTTGCTGCAGAGACGTAGCACCGAAAGTCCCACATTTTATAGGTTTGGGCTTTTCAATCTTGTGAAGAAAGGAAACATCTGTGTCAGCACATGGAAAAGGCAACACACGTGCAGAACACACAGCTCTCGGGAGTCCACTGGGGCAGGCATCAGTGGCATGCACAGGGGATGACTGGTGCAAAATGCAATCAAAATGCTATCAAAGACAAGCTGCACTCCGAGTTTATTTCTTGCGCGCAGAAAACCAGAGGGTCTAGTGTAAAGGTCTTAAAGAGAAACGATTGATTTTATTTGCTTGTGGTCCGGTGGGGCTTTATGCACCCGAGGCGCTGCTCCCCCTGAGAACGAGCCAACGCTCAGAGGTCAGTATGACGGAACAAACCAACCCAAAAACCCCCAGCCACAGTCGGAGCCCAGCGACCCGTAACGTAACCCATGACAACCCCGAGCACAACACGCCGCACGAGTGGCAGTGAAGGGAAGCGCTCAAGGCCGGGACAGACGCAGCTCTGGTCTAGCAATGGCCGGAGGAATAGGCACGAGGTGCTCCTTACGCTCCCTTTAACCCAAACCATTCCGTGATTCCGCTGGGAGGGATTAGC